AGGGTCTCGTGCCCTCCATCCAGCTTAAAAGTACCTCTGTTTGCCCCTAGCACATGCACAATACTCTGCTCCAGGGAAAGGGAGATGTTTTGGCAACCTCTAGAGTTGTCCAACCAGCCAAGCTGAGCACTGAGCAAAGGGAGGAGGGGGAGAGCAAAGCTAAAAAGCAGCCACTATTATCCCTCAGAGGCACAAGCAACCCATCACTCACATTCTCACACCCATAGCCAAAGGGCCAAAATGTCATCCTGGGACCCAAATCTCAGTGTGCTCTGCATATAGATAGGTCTCTGGGATTGGTTCATTCTAGGGTCCATAGCTGAGAAGAGATTGATACTACTAGGCTGGATTGTGATGAAGTGCCTGTGCGTTTGCATGTGTGTGCATGTGCACATATTTGGAACATGGATAGGGTGACCATGCATCCTGGTTTGGCTGGGACAGTTCTAGATTTTGGAGCACCCCAGGTGCAGGGCAGGGAGGTGGAAGTGGCAGGAGCCATGAAATGGGAAGGTGTAGCAGACAGCAAAATTGCCCTAAAATAGGTTGGCATGATTAATGGAATGACCATTAAATAGGGGAGATAATTGTTAACACCTGTGAAGTAAACAAGAATGGGTCATTAACCTGCCATTGACTCCCTTAGCTGCCTGAATAGTAATACCAGAGCTGCACCACCACCGCTGGTCCCTGTCTCTGCCTGCAGCAGCACTGTTGTCTTGAGAGGTGGTGGGGGTTGGGGAGGCAGTGTCAAGGGTTTCACATAGTCGCATATGGGCACCCTAAGCTTTTCAGACCCAGCTTCTTGTTGTTTCCTTAATGTTGGGTAGATTGGTGGTTAAATCAGCCAGCTAATCACTGATGATGAATGTGGCTGAGTTTTTGGGGGCTATAATTTCCCTAGAGTGTAGTTCCCAACTCTTTTTTTTGAATAGCTGACTATTTGGAAATGGTCGAGAGATTGTTTCTAAGCATCACAGTACTCCTTTTCGGGAGAGGCATCTTTCTGCTTGTGTCCGTTTGTGGATTGAATGCCTCTCTAGGGATAGAAGCCTTTTGGAGAGCCTACAAGTCTCCTCTCCTCACATCAATTCAGGGGGGCTAAGGAGGTTCAAGCCCCACATTTCTTTGCTGTTTCAGCTTTGTCTTTTTCCAAGGTGAGCAGCAGCAGCTTTTCTTAGACAGTATTCATGGCCCAAAGCCAGCAGGTCTTTGACAGGACAGTCACATCAGCAACAAGATGGTGAGATGCTTAGGAGGGAAGATGCTGACAGCACCCTTTCGCTTCTGGGAATTGCACTGGAGTGCTGTTTTGAGAAATGGGCAACAGCTTTCCCAATAGGCAGGGAATTGGCTTTCTGCATGTACATTCCACATCCCTGTGATCAGTTTTGCCCTATTTATCATTGCCCAGCTTCCCCTCACCTTTTTCAGGGTGCACCTTTTACTATCTCAGTGTATCCTGTGCCCACGGATGGTTCTCTCAGTCTCATTCCTTCCACTGCCACGAAATTACTTTGACAGCTATGGTTGGCATCTTCCCACCATGAGAGTGCCCATTCCCTGGCAGTACTGGAGCCAGGGACTACCAAGGTTGACAGGCTCAGCATCCTGTCCTTTGGTGCTGTGCTCTTTATTTGACCTGCTGCTCTAGGCTACATTTCTGATCACAAGCCCATCTGGGAGGTGACTAAGGACTTTCATAGCTGGTCCTCCTCTCGCTGTAGCTTACAGAGACAAAGGGTGCCCACCATCTTTGCCCCAAAGTTAGACCCAAGATTATGTCCCCCCCTGTGAATCCCACCATGATATCCCAATTCTCTTTCCAAAATCTTACTCTCTCTCAAGCAACAGTATAAACCATGTGCTAGTTGTGAAACTAGGGAGATTTTATTTTGTTTAGGTCTTGGGTATTTCAGAATTGGATGTTTTGTAGCCTTGGGGAGTCAGTGTAAGATTGCTATTTCCACTCAGTCCTCCAGGCAGATTAGGCAATGGATAGAGAAATTCTAGCTAAGTTGTCATGAGTTCAGGTTCAGAGGCCTCTTTTGACTGTCTACGACTTGTGCCAGCAGCATTTCCATCCTCTGCTACTTGCTTCTGTGCTTACCCAGTACTGAAGTTTCTGCGGGGCATCTGGAGCTTGGTTTTAGCAGGCTTGGAGACCTTGTTTAGCTTTCCGCTGGGGGTGCTTAGATATGTTTTGCACTGGATGAGAATTCGTGAGCTGAGTCTTGTGCAGGTCACCAGGTTGCCCCAGATGGAAATATGCAGAGACTATCTCAAGAAAGAAAAGCAGGTATTTGCTATGGTATTCTTGGTTCCAGGGGGTCAATTCTTCTGTATAGGCATGTGGCCTGCCTGCCTGCCTTGCACTGGGAAGTCTCACATGGTTCTTGGGTTTAGTACAAGGAATGGTAGGACTTGGGTCCTCACAGCCCTTGTAACTCTGACCTGAATGCTTGCTGCAGCGAAATGGGATATGTGCAGCCACAAGAGGTCCTGCTCTTCTATTGGAGAGGGCCAGCAGCGAGAAGGAAATATCCCACAGGAGCGAGCACAGAAAACATACAGTGAACCACTTCTCCTCCAGTAGGTAGCCATTTGTGCCCTACTGAATTGTTGATTGTCACTTAAGAGCCTGGATTTTATTTCTGGTTCTACCAGTGGCCTGCTAGGTCATGTTTATCAAATTGTTTCATCCATGTGCCTCATTTCCTTCATCTTAAAAAATGGGATAGTGATTCAGACTTCCTTTGTAAACCGCACTGAGATCTACTGTTTAGTGCTATGTGAGAGCCAGGCATTATTAGTGTTCTCTGACTGCTCTTCCCCCTATTCCCAACTCCAACACGTACATAGAGCAGCACTTCTTTTTCAGTATTATAGGAATTAACAGAAGAGCTAGAAAATGTAGCATTAGGAAGCCTTCCTGTGACATCTATAGCAAATGACAGAAGGTTGCTAATTAGCAAGCAAACAATCGTTGAAAGGAGCAAGCCTCATGCATGATAAAATGTACCTTGTTCTTTTGTTTTGTCAGCTGCACTGAGTTTATTTTAATTATTTATTTTATATCTCTCCATAGAATATTAGTGATTGTAGGCTAGAGTTTGGCAAAGCATTCGCCATTGACTTGACTCTGCTCCCATAGTTTAAGGGAGTTCAAAATTGTTACCTGTATAGGTGGGGTATTTTGGAAGACTAGTAACTTATTGATAATGAGAGGCCACCTTGTGACATCTAATATTCAGATTCATCTGTGATTTGGATAAATAGAGACCAACATTTCATTTGCAGAGAGAACACAGCGCATGGCTGAGTGAGAATTAATGACATGCTAGTGCTGTGATAAGAAAATAGGGCAGGATTCTCATCTGATTTAACCCAGTGCTAATTAGTGGTAACTCCATGATGATATACCCAGATACCGCTCATGTAAGTGACATCCAAGCCAGGCCCAAGGCCCATATTCTCAGCCTCTTATTGGTCAAATTAAAAAAAAAAAAAGAGTAGGCAAAATGTTCAGTCCCACAATGAGCCAAATTAACCCCTGACATGATTCCATGGCAGTCAGCCAAGTCGCAGTAGAGATTTATTTGACTCGGAGCTTTCATGCGCCTTGATGACGCCATCTGCTGAAAATAAGGAGATCCTTTAAATCTAGCTTGCAGCATTTGGGGAAAATGCACAGGGACTTTCAAAAGGCTCAAGTGACTTAAGAGCAAAAGTCCCTTTGTCCTTTAGACCTAAGTCACTTCCAGTACTTTTGAAAACCCCTCCTTGAGTTCAACAAAACTGAAAAGTTGGAGGATGGAATGAGGGCCATTTTGTATTTATATCTATTTCATGGAGCTTAGAGCTGTGAGTGTCACTGCATAACTCGGGGAGGAAACAGTCTTGTAAAAACAAAACAAGAATTTCTTGACAGCTTTAAATCTTGGAGATAGCTGCTTGTCTCAAAGTACCAGTGGAGATTAAAAAAAACAAGTTACATGATATTGCCTGTTGAGTATCTTTATGCAGAATGCATACGTGTGTGTATGTGTGTGCGTGAGAGAGCGCGTTGTGATATATGGCTTCTGTGATTGAACTCTGCAAAGTTTATGGCTTCTTTTCTGATGCTTCATTCCCACCCAACAGTTTAATAGCTATAAATTGTTATTGGATGTTGCTTGTTTTTATTGTTTATTGGTTTTAGTTAAACAGCTCTCAAAGCTTCTGCAGATTTAGCATATTCCTTAATCTGTCTTTGCCACGCTGTAGATTTCAGC